TATAGATCGCTAAGATCGCTAAGAAATTAGAGAAATGATAGAAATTATAGAAATTAGAGAAAGTTGAGATCCATGATTGACGGGATCATCATTCGCTAATTGTAATTGGCGCAGTACTAATGCGTCATAACTAGACTATCACTAACACCGTGATTATCATTTTATTTGTCTGTTTTTTCTTTATTCATTCAATTAATTTTTTTCGCTCGTTAATAATCCCAATAGATTAATTAATATAAGACGATATTCGGCTTCGTCCGTCGGTAAAGATAGGTTCCTTTCATTTCCAGGCTTTCTTGCAAGGTAATTAATTGTGTTTGAATGTTGGACTTAACAAAGTTAAAGGAAGATATATTTTCTCGTCAAATTTTCAATATTTAATTCATCTAGATATTTACAAATTATTTCTAAAAGTTGGTCACATAGTTTGATTATAAATTAAGTTGTCAACAATGTAAATTGACAAATAGATCGAAAGAAATCGATTAAACTGCTAAGTTCCAAACTAAGCGTTGATATCACTTCATAAATAACCATACTAATGTCCGGAAAGAGAACGGTAATCCTTTATTCTGGTAATAAAAAATTACGAAATTCTATTTAACGTGATAAAGGTGACAACTTGAGAAACACAATGTTTTAGATTATAATAAAAAAGTAACTAACTTTTGCATCAATGATTGCTGATTTCACAAACATTTAAAGATTTAAATTAAGTTAAATAATTTAAAAGAAAAACAAATATTATTTTTTTGGTCAGCAAAATGAAAAAAGGATGATATATATTAAAGAAAAACAAGTTATAATTTCTTTTCAGTTGCATTCAAAGGATCGGTTTCAACCATGATGCACATTTTTAAATTATAGACAGGAACTAGAGTGATCATTTATTCTAATTTACTATTGTTGATAATATTTGGTATTAGTTATAATATGAATGAGAAAAAAAAGTATTGACAAAAACATCTTACAAGATTGTAGAAATGATCACTATTACTTCTGTTTAGAAATGGACAAATAATACGTAAATGATAAAAATTAAAATTTTAATAAAAAATGCTCAGAGCCCTAATTTCCTAACAAACATCCCATATTTTATTAAATTATATTATGCTAAATATTGACAAAAACAGCACATTCATTTATTATTTTAATTTAAAGTAACAATTGTCTTACAATAACATTTTTTATTTTAAATAATGGCAATAACAATCTTGGTGAAATTCAAAGCTGCTTTTTTTCCTTTTCTTATAGAGTAATCACTCGTTTATTGATTACTTTATTTTTTAGCGAGTGCTTATAAATAACTTGAATTAAGTTAACAAAAAAAGATAATAATAAATTACATTTACAGTATAAGGACATACAGCTAGTTTTCACATCATTAAGATATGTTAGAATTTTCCATTATTAGGATTTTTTTAAAAAAAAAACTTTCATTGCTGTTTTTTTACTTTATAGATTCCTTCACATTTGTAAGGGCATGATTTATTAATTTTTTATACAGTAAATAAATTAATTTGTTAAAAATTTCTCTGTGTAATCTGTGGTTATATTTCGGGCATCCCTATTTTATACCCAGAAATTCTGTGCCACTAAAAATGATTCGATTTACGATGAACCCACATTATTCTTTGCTTTTAAAAAAAAATGATAATATTAAACTAGACCCTACTATGTTTTACGTGTTTTACGCCTCGCGACAAAAAAATGAAATATCAAAAGAGTACTTTCCGCAAAGCAATAGCGAAGTTAGTTTGTTTTATTTCTTGGATTGATTCTAGAAAATCGCCATCACGATGCTAATCATTTTTCCCAGCTCTATAGATGCTCAAAGATAAGCACACATATTACCTTTCTTAATCCTTTCTGCACAATTTAATATTCGCCGAGAAAACGTGATCATTATCATGTGCCTAATCAGCGCAGCATTAATTCTGTCAACAGATTTTCATCACATGCTGAGATACAGTGCGCAGTAAATCGTAGTATTGTTCAAAAATTGAATGAATATAAAGGCGGAATTAAATGTTGTGAAAATGAAGTATATCGGTAAGTGTTAATCGGAAGTCTCAACTTGTTTTATTTCATTTAATCCGTTGCTAATCTTAGAATTCTTCATACAGATTCGAAATTATTTCATCTCGGGGAAGTTCTATTGCAGGAAATAATCTATTTACTTTGTGTGGATGGGAATGACGAAAATTCTGTAGATTTTCTAATTTGTAATTTTTAATTAGTGAACAAAATTTCATATAACATTTTTTAGTAACCAATGAAATGATATCTAAATAAATAAATAAATAAATATTTGATTATCCAATTTCCAAATTGATTTTTTATCGTAATCTAATTCATTAGCGTACTCAAATTTCTAATACGTTTTTTAAAAAGAACAAATACCGAAACTTGGCGACAGAAAATCAAAGCGATATACTAATTCATAATAATCTGATATTTTGTATTGCTTTTTAATACAGCTTGTTTACTTTTAGCTGCTGCATCTTCATAAACATGACTAACGAACAAAGATGGGAGATTAAAAGAAACCTTAAATAGAATTACAACTAGAAACGTATGAGGAGTAATTAATAAAATCTTACCATATAATTGCTAGCAATGATAGTAAAGATTTATCCATTTAAAAAAATTACCATTAATACAAAAATGTGTAGTTACTAATGAAGTGGGAAAAGTGGAAAATGTATTATACAATGATTCAAGATAAACATTACGTGTCAATGGATTTGTAATAGTTCCATTAAATGAACCTTTTTTTTCAACATGTGGATTTTAAATAAAACAAACCTACATGTAACAATATTTGTTTTATAAGTTATCAGTTATTAGTTAAAAATAATATAAAAAGTGTTAAAAAATTCCTTACATTTATGTGCGAATCCAACAATTATAATGAATAAATAGATGATAAATGGATAAATGCTTCTGCAGATATCACGACACAATAAATATAAAACGAAATTTCTAAAAAAAAATTACTAAGTGAACTAGATATAATGAGATTTATTTTGTATTGATATTATCGCATTACTTGGTATTAAACGTAACAAGGTTCAGCTCTCTGAGGAGGTTCGTTAGGGAAAAGACTGGACGCCTCGCTACAGAGTAAATTTGATAGAAGTAGCACAAAGGATTCTTGGGACGCCATAAAGGTGAAAAGAGTCTATATTATATTATACTTACAGTGTCATGGTAAGGTTAATTAATAAACCGAAAATCCATCGTGATTCTTTAAATGCTGTGTCATATGACAAGTGTGAAGATTCTTCATCTATTTCTTCACCAATAAATAAATGATCTATCACATACTTTGCTCATCATTATATGATTTAATTAAATAAGCGATTAACATTTTTTCGGCACATTTTCATCATGTTTATATTATAATTGTATAAAAAATTTATGCTTTGATGATTTCACATTTTTATTTAAATCTTTTTTATAATTGTTAAAGAAATTTCTAAATGCTTTGCATGTTTTTTTATAAAAGATTCGATAAAAAAAATTTCAGATCTTGTATTTTATGTCATTTTCAAAATAAACAAACAAAATTTTTACAAACAAAAATATTTAAAAATCTATGTACTAAATGATATGCCGTAATAAATAATTCTGCGTTAAAAACGAGAACTGTAAAAAAATTGTAAAATACGTTTCACTTCAGAAATTCAAAAACAGGAACAAATAATAAGAAATTGAAAATATCTTTTTTTAGTGATTAATGTCCAGGACCTCTAGAACTAGAACCTCTATACTTCATTTGAATTTGATCATATCGAATCAAACATTAATTTGGATTTGTTTAAGTAAATTATTCTTTGATTTGAATTTGATTAAATCAAATCAAGTATAAATTTGAATTTGTATTTGATTTATTTGATTTTTTTGATTTGATTTTCAAATCAAATGTTCAAATGTCAAATAGAATTGCGAAAACTTACAAGAAAGATTAATAATAGGTAAAAATATGTGAAATTTATGTATAATTGATAATATAGTTTCTTATAAAGAAACCTTTACTTATGATAATATTTTAATTTAATAAGTTATATAATATATATAATATTAGGAATAGTTTTTCAATTTCAATTGTTATATCTATTATTAAAAATCATAATAAAATCTGAACCTATATTTTATTATTATATTAATATTGATATATTATTATTTGTAGAAAACAAATTACAAAATTTTGAAAACACTTTCATATATTTTTGAATTTATATAAATTTTGATATTTATGATATTCATAAAAATTATGAAAAGATTTAAAAAGTAAACGTTAAGTTGAACTATCAAATGTAGTTATGTTAAAGTTTAGATAATCTGAATAATACAAAAAATATATATGTTACCATAAGAATATATATTAATAATATCAGAATTAGTGAAATTAAAAATTTGAAATTAGCATGATAAAATAGTCTTAAAAATATAAATTTATTAAACAAAACAAATATTTAGCTATTATTAAATACATTACATACTTTAAAAGCTATATATATTACTTCTTTAATAATTATTTCTGAATATAATATTTATTATTTAGTTGTATATCATGAAGTTTCATATTTGGATAAATTGAAAAAAAGTTATTGAATATTCAATTATATGTTAAATATCAGAACATATATGGATATTGATTAGTATAACTTTAAGTCAATATATGGATATTGATTAGTATAACTTTAAGTCAATATATACAAAATAAAAATTTTACAATAAAAAAATATTTTAAAAAGTAATTTAAAAGTATAATATTTATTTTATTGGGTTGGCTTTTAGTTTGATATAAAAATGGAATTAAATATAAATATCATAATCTTTAATTTTAAAACATTTATACTTTTGCTCTACATTTTCCAGTAACTGGTTAAAATAGCTATGCATAATCAGTTGTATATTTTATATTAATTATTAAAAAATACAGATTTATAAAATATTTTTTAGCATATTAGTTCATGTTTTAATCAATATTTTGTATTTGATAAAGCTTTGAAATAATTTAGCATAATATTTGTTAAACAAAATATTAGTTCTGTAAAATATAAAAATTACAAATCATATCAAGTTAATCAAAGTTGAATTATTTGAATTTACTTATTAGTAAATATGTTGGTAATAATTTATTGACTTCAACTGATTATAATATAAAGTCTTAAAAGAATGTATTAAAAAATTATTTTGATTTACAATTAGCTTTTAAAAATCCTAATAGTTAATAAATAAATGAACTTTTAAAAAAGTTACAAAAAATATGAAATAAGGTTCAAAAAATTTTTAATTATTATAATATAGGTATAAATAAGTTACATAATTTATATATAAGCAAGATGTTGAAAATTTTATTATAAGAAATATATGTGAAAAATGTATTACAAATATAGTTTTCAGCAAAAATAACAAAACAAAAACATTAGCAGCAAAACTATTAAAATTCAATAATCAAAGCATCAGTAAAAAATATAAATGTTAAAAAATGATAGGTTTCCCAATTCGATTTGATATTTGAATATCTGATTTGAAAATCATATCAAATACAAATTCAAATTTATATTTGATTTGATTCAATCAAATTCAAATCAAAGAATGATTTATTTGATCAAATCCAAATTAATGTTTGATTCGTTTCGATCAAATTCAAATTAAGTATTCAAATATTTGATTTGATTTGAATCAATAGTAAAGCCATCTCCAAAGCTTCAGGAGTGGCTCTTACTAAGAAAACCATAGTCAAAAGCGCCTCCGCGGCTTCGGAAATGCCTTTTTTACTAAGAAAAACATAGTAAAAAACGCCTTCGCGGCTTCGGAGACGTTATTTTACCAAGAAAACATAGTAAAAAACACCTCCGCCGCTTCAGAGACGCTATTTTACTAAGAAAACATAGTAAAAAACACCTCCGCGGCTTCGGAGACGATTTTTACTAAGAAACCTGGTAAAAAATGCGTCCGCGGCTTCGGAAACGTTTTTTTTACTAATAAAATTGTTACGAAGCCGAGATGGCGGTTATTACTAAGTTTTCTTAGTAAAACCGAAGCCGCGATGGCACCTACACTAGCAAATCGCATTGATTAAATACGCATAAATCTTTCTTAAGACGGCCTAAGTTAGATTTAATTAATTGTATGTTGACTTGAAAGATAGTATATCCAGATAACCCTAGATATGTAAATTGCGGTTTAGCGAATATCGAATATTAAAGAAAATTCAATACAGATAATAATTATACTAAAAATAAAGGTTTATAATGGTTTATTTAATATTAAAGAATAGACTCTAGCATATACATAATTATTATTTAGTTGTGCAACTATTTATCATTTGTTTTAAATAAACAAGTTTAATTATAATAGGCAGTAAACATTATTACCGGTATGAAATTTATTCTATTTATCCTTCCGGAAAAATAGATACAATCAAATCAAGTCCCATTTACTTTTCAAAAAAGGAGTTGTTCAAATGTTAAACGTGAGAGAAAGCTGTCAAGATATCTCACTTGGGAATTACTAAGTACTCGTGCTATTTTTGCTAAGATTAAAATCGATTTTCTTTTCAATTAAATTGACTTATTGTTTTTGAAGGCAAAAATTACTTAACATTTAATTTTTTTCTTAATGATAGCCATTAGTCACATACAGTTGAACAATCGAGTTGATTCAGGTACCCAAGGATTAAATGGAGTAAACTTTACATAATAATGAGGAACTTATTATAATTATTCCTCAGAGACTCAAAATTCTAAAAGAATTTTGCTGCAAAGAAATCGAGGTATATTTGCTTGATCTTTCTGCACAATTGAGGGTGTATTAAAAATTATGGTATAGAGCAAAGTGTGATATTTTTCTGAAAATGGACACATAATAGGCCTAAATTTGCAATGGATCCGACTAAAATCGTAACAGTAAACTAAACATTAATCGATATAGTTATAAAGAAAGTTGATCCTTGTTTTGTTTTTCATGTTTATTCCGTGAAGGGCTCTTTTTCACCGAATTTATAAACTTAAATCACGGAATTTTCATACCATTTATACCGAACGGATTCCGTGAGAGGCTTATTTTCACAGAAATAATGGAAATATTCGGGCGAAATTTTTTATGCGAATTGTATTGTATGTAACGTAATTTTATTTTGCAATTATATAAAAAGTAATTTTTATTAATAAAATTATAACTTACCTAATATTAAGTTAAAAATATTGTTTTAAAAGAAAGGGTTTTCGAATATAAAAAGTTATCGAGAAGCATATATCGATTTCAATTTTATAAAGCAGCTATATAGCTATGCAATATTAGCTACAGCTAAGCTACTCGGCAATAGCGTACAACTATTTATTAATAATGGAGTAACATGTCGGAATCAGTAGGATACATAATGACGTTAAATGGCCAAATATTTCTCATTGAGAATATTAATTAAACAATGTACAATTCTTGATACTGGAATGACATTTTACGATGCAATGACTTACATAAAATAAATTTTATAGTATATGTTTGCTGTAATAAAGATGTTAAACGAATTTTCACCATATTTTTTTTTGATTTACAAACCAATAAGTGTTAATTAAAGCTATAATTTCGATTCAAAATTCAATAAAGTGCTTTATTATATTATTTTTGTAAAGTAATACATGAAAAAAGAAGCCGGCCAGAGAGGAAAGTGTTTCACCACTATTCTAAAACCAACCACCTTTTCCCTTATTTGGTAATAAGGTTATCTAATGAAGTCGTTCGTGGAGTATTTTGATGGCAATAAAAAATGGAAACTAAGTCCTATCAATTTATTATACATTCCGCGTAGGAGATTCTTTGATCGAAAAGAAGAGAATCAGTTAGATCCAACTAAAAAGTAGTGTAGAAATTATAATTATACAAAAGTAAATACATATCTTTAGAGATTGTATCGTTCCTCCATTCATATTCGGTAGAATTTTCTAAAATTCACTATTTATCGAAAAGGTAGACTTTCATGATTATTTCTCCTGGATTGATTTATGTGAAAATAAATAAATACTTAAGAAACTTATAAGTTCGTTCGATAATGAGGGTAGCGTTAAAAGTACATTTTTAAAAGACGTAATAGAAAGTATTATTAATCGGAAACTTAATCTTCTCTTGTATAACTCCTCACTTGTCACCTCCGAACATTCTACTTGTGGAGAATTTTTTAAAGTATGTCAAGAGCTATGAATCTTTTGTCCTCCAAAAAAATTCTGTTTTCATAAACTTTTAACATCTAATGCGAGATAACGAATTATTCCTTAGTTTCTACAGAAGTATAATCTAAAGTGTTTGCATACATTATGAGAAATATTTCCATTGCTGTCTTAACTAAGTCTTTCAAAAAGA